AAAAAAGAAGAGAGGCAAGTAGTGAGGGCCAAGGAAAAAATTTTAAATTTTATTTACGTATATTTATATACATACATAACATAAATTTATTTGGACCCTTTAAAGAATCCACAATTTTAATTACAATGAATACTCCTAGTTTAATAAAGACAGTCCATAGTTTACATATCATATTGGTAATTGAAATTAACTTTCATTAAACATGGACTAACAGGATCCCTCGAACATAACTATGAACTAGGAGTGTTTACTTGGTATAACTAACAGGCCCATCTCTTTTTTTCCATTTTTCCATGTCTTCAGAACCTACACACAGGAAGTGGAAAACACTTAACTAAAAGAGCTCAGTCCCCAAGGTTCCCAGTAACAATAGTTCAAAATCTGGATGTGACTTCTACCCAAAGCTATTAATATTATGCAGCTATCCTGGTCATTTTGTCAAGAAACATTTATGAAAGATCTACCTTTAATATGCCTCATTTGCTCTAAACTATCATTCTGTAGACCTCTCAAATAAAAGTAAAACAAGGTTTTTCAGCACGTAGACATAAAACATAGACACCATGCTTGCCTTCATGAATGTGGAAGATTCCCTGTTTCTTGGGGTTCTGGGGTCCTTGAGTCAGTCCTCTTCCGGGAGTAAGCTGCCCCTTGCCCAAGGCACAAAGCCTATAAAACAAGATACAACAGAGTAGATTCCATGGCTTATTCCCCAGCAACCCCAAAGACCTACCCTCCTCCCAGAGTACCTGGCCATAGCACTCCCTTAGTATATATTGTCTTGTAGGAGTTTGCAGTCATTTTACAAGTATATGTATATTTGCATATGAGGCTATTACATAAAGCATCTCTCCAACTAGAGCAAACATTTCTTGAGAGCAGAGACCAATTAGGTAATTATATTCAAAATAAATAAAAGATGGCAACTAAGTTTAACGGGTTTATTATTAGTCTATTTTATTAGTTTCAGAAGTCCATAATTGATTTGGTAAACAACTGAGCAAACTCATTATGAAAAATTTATTCTGTTCTTTATTATCACGTCATATTTCCTCAATAAATAAGATAAACCTAATTATAAAGTAAACTTTGAACACTGAATTAGCCCTTTCCAGATGCAAAGAAAGTATTTATTTAACTTACACAGAAATTTTCTAGAGTCCCAACACAATGAAATAAAAGCTATCTATTGGCCGCGGTGGCACATGCCTGTAATCCCAGCATTTTGGGAGGCTGAGGAGGGTGGATGGCTTGAGCCCAGGAATTCAAGACCAGCCTGGGCAATGTGGCAAAACCCTATCTCTACAAAAATTAGCCAGGTGTGGTGGCATGCACCTGTGGTCCCAGCTACTCAGAGGCTCAGGTGGGAGGATCACTTGAACCCAGGAGGTCAAGGCTGCAGTGAGCCAAGCCTGCACCACTGCACTCCAGCCTAGGCAAAAATCTGACCCTGCTTCAAAAAAATAAAATAAAATAAAAGCTATCTACCTAAATGTGCCTAACCTACTCTCCCAAAGTAAGTTGATTTTGGTTCACTATTGCTTAAATGTTGACTCCCAATCATACAATATTATGTCAGGGGTAGCACACAGACAATATCACAGATTAACAAACTGATCTGCGAGAGCATAGTTGAAGGCAAGGCATTGAATAGATCAAGAACCCACAGGCTGAGCACAGTGGCTCACGCCTATAATCCAGCACTTTGGGAGGCCAAGACAGCCAGATCACTTGAGGTTAGGAGTTTGAGACCAGCCTGGCCAACATGGTGAAACCCTACCTGTACTAAAAATACAAAAATTAGCTGGATGTGGTGGTGGGCGCCTGTAATCCCAGCTACTTGGGAGGCTGAGGCAGGAGAATCACTTGAACCCGGGAGATGGAGGTTGCAGTGAGCAGATAACACGCCACTGCACTCCAGCCTGGGCAACAGAGAGAGACTCT